GAACTTCAGAAAATGGAGAATCTGAGAACTTCCGAATTTCAGAATCTCAGAATTTCAGAACTTCAAAATTTCAGAATTTCAGGGCCTCAAACCCTCAGAATTTCAGAACTTCAGAATCTCAATATTTCTGAATTTTCAAAAATTACGGCAGAAAATTTTCACTTCTCATTGTCTTTTGATTGTTCTTTTTGATTTTGTGTCATATATTTCACTCTTTATAAAAAAAAATTGTGGAAATTGTTGGGCATTGGCTGAAAGGCATTAGTTGTTTTGAATTTTTGTGTCTCTAAATTTCTCAGGATTTTAATGTTTAATTTAAAAATGTTTAAACAAACTCAGGATGTTTAAACAAACTCAGGATTTTAATGTTTAATTTAGGTTTTAAACCCCAGTCCATACTTCTCTCACTACCAATTTTTCTTAATTGTTTTTTCTCAATTCTATTTCATTTCCTTTTGCTTTCAATATTCCTTCGTTTTTGCCCAATTTTCCGTTTTTTCCCAATTTTTCAATTTTTCTCATTTTTTCAATTTTTCTCAATTTTTCCCAATTTTTCAATTTTCCTCAAGTTTCGTGGTAATTGAAATGTTCTCATTTTTTCATAATTTTCTAAATTATTGAATGAAGGAAACAATCACAATTCAGTGATTTTCCCACAAAAATTCAAAACTCCCAAAAATTGGCCCAAAATGAGCTGTTTTCTTTCGAAAATTGTTCGAAATGGGCAATAAAACACTACAAAAATTATTAAATTAAGTTTTTTTGATTAATTACCACGAAAATTTGAGCAAAAACTATGAAAAACGGAGAAAAATCCCAAAATAAAATTTCCCAGTGATGACGTCATCAGTCCATGGCCGTGGCCGAGCTGGTTTTCTCTTCCATGGGAAATTTCGCAAAATTCACAGCTTTTCGCAAATCCCATTTTTCTCTATTTTCCTTCATTTTTCATAGTTTTTGCTCAAATTTTCGTGGTAATTAATCGAAAAAAATCAATTTAATAGTTTTTGTAGTGTTTTATTGCCCAGTTCGAACAATTTTCGAAAGAAATAGCTCATTTTGGGCCAATTTTTGGGAGTTTTGAATTTTTGTGGGAAAATCACTGAATTGTGATTGTTTCTTCGTTCAATAATTTAGAAAAATATGAAAAAATGAGAACATTTCAATTACCACGAAACTTGAGGAAAATTGAAAATTGAAAAATTGGGAAAAATTGAGAAAAATTGGGAAAAAACGGAAAATTTGGCAAAAACGAAGGAATATTGAAAGCAAAAGGAAATGAAATAGGATTGAGAAAAAACAATTAAGAAAAATTGGTAGTGAGGGAAGTATGGGCTGGGGTTTAAGACTTAAATTAAACATTAAAATCCTGAGTTTGTGAAATTTGTGAAGATTATTTTACAGTTCTCTATTGTGTACGTTCTAGAAATTTCGAGACTCTTGTTTCTTTTGGTAGTATGGGAGACTCTGTGGTAAGAAGTAGTATAAGAGACCTTGGTAGTAAAAGAGACTTGGTAGTATGAGAGAAAAGTAGTATAAGAGATGGTTGTATAAGAGAATTTGCCCATTTTTTTTCATGTCCCCCCACCTTTAACTTACCCGTTTTTTCGCTTGCTCGATTGGTGCCAGTTCTGCTTCGGGAGCGGTGCTGGTGACCATTCTGACGTTTCGAATTACTCCTGGTAATGAGAATTTTGAGGAAAACATATGAAAAACGCTGAAAAACAGAAAAACATGTCTGAGACTGATAAAAGAACTTTGAAACTGCTGAAATAAAAATACTTTTTATGTGCAAAGTATCGTGAGGGTGTTTGCACAGAGTGCACGGAAGTGGACGACAAAAAAATTCTTTTTTCTCTATTTTTCTTTTTCAGTTTATAACTAAAAAATTTCCGGAAATCTTAACTTAAACATGTTTGAAAATTTAATTTACAGAAATGAGTAAGCGACCTGTAATTGAATCTGAAAAGGCAGCTTGGCATGACGAGGATGATGACCATCTCGTGGTTTCTGTTCCCAAGAAAGTAAAGAAAACATTGAAAGTGGAACTGAAACGAACGACTGATGAAGAACATGGAGAACTTGATTCAAAGGTATATTTGAGTGTATAATTTTATAATTAAAAATCCAATTTATAGGAATATATCGGCCGTCTGCAAGCAGCTTTCAAAAAACGGCACGGAGGAACTCCGAAATGGGCTGATGCATCTGCAGGTTGCATAAATGATTATAATCTTTCAAAATTTTATTCATTTTTCAGAAGAAGATGATGAAGAAGGATCATTGTTAAAATCTGCGGCAGGATACTTGGCAAAAGATGTGAAACTCCCAAAAACGACTATTCGTACAACCCTTCTGAAAGATTTCAATATTGGACATCGATTCAATCGAGGAATCACATCGGTCAAGTTTCACAGAACTCGTCCCGTTCTAATCGTAGGAGATCAAGGTGGAAATATTCAACTTTTTGAAGTTCGTGATCATTGAATCCGAGTTCCAGAGCCAACTTATCAATTTCAGGTTAGCAGCGAGGTGAAGAAAGATCATTTCTTACAAAGCGCTACTTTCACGAAGTTTCCAATTGATTGTATGGAAATTGCTGGACAAGGGCATACGGTCATTTGTTCTTCGACGAGACAGGAATACTTGATGCAGTACAATATGGACACCAGACAAATAACCCAATTGAAGCCTCCGAACAGTAAGTTCATGACAAAACAATTATAGTTTTTTCATATCAATTTTAAAGCTGTTCCAAAACAAGGCGTCCGGTTTTTCGCAGTCTCCCACGATTCTCAATTTCTAGCTATCGCCGGACACAATTCACACGTCTATGTGCTTCACTCTACTGTAAGTCTGTCCAAATGGAGTAGTTTTAAGTCGTTTATTACAGTCCATGGAACACATCACAACTATTTCACTTCCTGCCAACGCTACCTGTATCAAGTTCTTCCCATCGCACAGCTGCGAGATGTGGATTATTTGCCGTTAGTTTCATACTAAAAATTATAATGTTAATTCGCATAGCTTCCAGAGGCTGGTCAGGTTGTAATCGCTACAATTGGCTTACCTGGATCCAAACCGGCTCAACACACATTCACAGATGATGGAGCCGTCCATGGAACAACTCTTGCCATCAGCCAGCATGGAGATTATTTTGCCACTGGGTAAGACGCCGTTATAAAATACGTTATGCAAACATTTTTTATAGAAGTGACACTGGAATTGTCAATGTTTACTCCGGTCATTCCTGCCGTGATTCTACTACTCCAACTCCTCTTTTCAATGTTTCCAACCTTGTCACATCTGTCTCCTCGATCGCCTTCAACTCCGATGCTCAATTAATGGCTATTTGCTCAAAAGTAAAAGAGAATCACATTCGTCTTGTCCATGTGGCAAGTCAGACAACGTTCAAAAACTTCCCAGAAAGGAACGGAAAAGTGACACATGCCAGTTGCGTTGATTTTTCACCCAAAGGAGGATACTTGGCTGTTGGAAATGACGATGGTCGCCTTCATGTCTTCAACATTCACCATTTTTCTGAGTACTGACAAACGTTGATTATATTGTTTCTTAACCTGAAAGCCTCGCTACTTTTTTTTGTTTTCGTTGATTTTTTATCTCGTGTTGTTGTTGATTATGAATACTTTTGAATACATCAAAGTTGGTTCCATAGCAAATTAAAGGAGGAAAATTAAGACAGGTCAGAAAGAAGAATTGTTTGTTCTTTGGAGTTACAACGAACTGTCTCAATGGTCGCTAGTGGAGAAACTCAGAGAACGACCGAAATCAAAGAAAATTGAGTGGAAACTTCCATCCTTCACGTGAAGTCTGGCTGATGGTGGTATATTAAGGTGCACTCGACAATCGATCTGATTCGTCATCTTCATTTGGGAAGTTTTTTGGTTTTTGGTTTTTCGTGTTTAATGGGCATCCCTAATCACCGATCTGGATTCAGAGGTATTTGAAAAAAAGATCCTCGTTTTGTATTATTCTAGCAACTACAATAATCTAAAAACATGCTCATTTTCGGTACTTATTGTCTCACTTTTCACTGGTTTTTGTCTAGTTTTCCGTTGTTTTTTTTCCAAAAAAAAAATTGAGTATATAGCCGTAAGACTCTTCCGTTTCTAGAGTGCAAAAAATCCTAGGTCATTTTCTGATCCTTTTATTCATATTTTTTGTTTTTTGAACCAATGTCTATTGGAGCATCTCGATGATCTCTCATCTTGAAAAAACTAATAATGAGGTCATAAAACATAACACGTGATGCTTCCTAAACTAACACAGACCATTCAACTTTGAATATTTGGGAATCACAGCGTCTCCTAATAATCCATGAGGTTTTGGAATAAATGTACTATTCAATTGTTGAGTTTGAACATTTCAAAATTTAATTGTTGAATTTGAATTCGTAATGTCTAAATTTTAACTTTGAGGCATTTCATCTCGGTTTCTGTGAAAGGTATCTAAAAGTGGCTGATTAACAAAATGTTTTTGATATTATGATAAACATTTTGTCAGTTGGCCACATTTTGATATCTTTTTCAGGAAATTAAATATACGGGCTCAAAGTGGACGGTGAGCTTTTATTGGACATTCACAACGTTGTAATTATTTTGATGGCGAAAATCTTTGACACTTCAGACACAAATAACGAACTTTGGTTTCTAATTCATGTTCTTTAATTTCCAATTCATTCATTCAGTCTTATGCTCATAAAGAGCAACTCAATCTTCTTCTCTTCCGGCAGATCTTCCCTCTAATCCGGGCAACTCGGAATTAATTTTCAAAAGTGGGTAGTCAAAAAAGAGAAAGAGGAAGAGAAAAGAAGATACAGAACGAAACCTGATTAACCAATGATCAATAAATTCATTTATTCATTGTTTTTGTATATCCCGGAAACGAACAAAAAAGATTCTTCCCTATACCTGTCACAAAATCAGAATAAACCTGAAAATATCGCCCAGTGTTTTTATTTCTCTCCAAAAAGGGATTACAAATAGAGAAACAAAAACCAGTTATACGGGTTGGCCTCCTCGTTGAATCAATTTACACCATTTCATGCAATAATCACAGGTATCACTCCAATTTTTCGTCATTTTCCATAAGCCTCTTTTTCACCGAATTCTAGGAATAGCTAACATTTTTGGTGTCTAACGCATTTTTTGTTGTTTTTTAGTGGGATTCATTAGATTACCCTTTCGTCAGCCGTTTTTTCTGTAACTAAATTGTTCAGATTCCAAAAGTTTAGATGTTATTCTCAGAATTTCTTTCTGCAGAAATTTCAATTCGGTTAAAAAGATCTTTGAATTTTTAAAAAACTTATTTCCCACGAACCATAACATTTTTTTCGTTTCATCAGCTCTCACCAGACCTACTATGATGAGGAAATTGAGTTCAAACTTCCGGGTCTGGGATTCTCAAAAAACACGTGGGGTGAGAAAGTTTGAGGTATACGATCAGCTAGTTATATAGATCAGAGATGTTAGAAATTCTGACTTCCGAATTCCCAATTCGAAAACTAGCTTCCGACTTCCGACCCTTGAACTCCGCCATAGAATTTTTGCAAAAAAAATGCAAGATTTGTTCGTTTTTGAGCAGAAAAATCCAAAAATGTCGAAATTAGCCCCAATATCATAATTTTATGCTCCGGGATATTTAACAGAACAAGCTAGCTTCTTCTTAGTTTACTTCCGACTTCCGAGTTCAAAAGTTGACTTCCTGAAATCTCTGAAATGTACATCTCCCGGGAATCTCATTTTTTCTATCCGGAATTCTCTTCTTGAACTTCCTTTCTCTTCGTGAAGTCTTTTGTCATCTCCACCACCTGTGTTCTTTTGCCTTCTGTCTTTTGTCTCCTGTTTTCTGAATCATATATTTTCTTACTCGACGTCAATCTGTTCACCGACAAATTGCATATTTTCCCAGGCTCTCTGATCACAAGAAAGTTCATTGAAACTACACATTTCCTCATTTTTTTTTTGAGACATTTGTGACTTATTTCTCTCCACCTACTCCTATTTCTACTTTGCTGCATATATCCCAGAAAATGCAGAATGCCCAATCTCTCTTTTGGTACACACTTTGTACTGGATTGCAAAGTTAGAAAAAAAAATGGATTAGCCATAAAGAAATTAGATTTCTGATCTTTTTCAGTCTACTTGATGACTATTTTCTTAAAACGGATTAGTCTTGTAGAACTTCTCTCGCTTCGAAAAATGCACGTTCAGTATAGGAGAAGAGCACTATTGGTGTGACTTCTTGTGTCTAATATTTGAGACAGCTGCAAATAGATATTATAACTCGTTGATTTTTGTTCTCTTGTTTTTTTTTGCATATTCTGTTTATAAATATAGCCAGAAATGTATACTAGAAAACACTAAAATTTTTGGAAACTAAAAATACATGTTCCAAAAAATATGTGATAGAGACCAATTTTGAGATCAAGGAAGTAGAAAAAAAAACAAGATTTGCAAAACCAGCTGATTCATTGTCTTTAATAAATCTTGTCTCATTCTTAATTCTCCAGACTAATCCTTTTCACTTTGATTTTCACTTTGACTTACCCTTATTAATTTGATCTCTCTATGTCTCTTTTTTGAGCCTTTTGCAAATATCTGCGTCTCTACCTTCGGGACACATTGTCTACAACTCTCTCGTTCCTCTATAACTTCACTGGGTCTCTTGCCCTTCCCACTATCTAATTTCTCGAGACAAACTCTCGTATTGGCATCCCCGTGGTTACTCTCTCTTCCTTCACATTTCGGTCTCTGTCTCTTTCCATCTCTCGTCATCGTCCCCCACCTTTCCAACCTTTCATTTCTTTTCCCTCTCCACTTTTCCTATGATCTCTGATTCTAAGGGCTCCCGCACTGTTTCGATGATTTCCTTCATAGTTCAACGCCAAAAATAGACCCCCTTTGGAAGTCGTGGGAAATATTTCAATGAGTTCAAAATGTTTCACTTTCTGTCTAACTAATAATTCAAAATTCTTCTCTTCCACACAAAATTACCTGATGTGTCATTGAGAATGAAATCAGACTCTGCCCCTTATCCCCAAATCATTTCAGTTAATTCCCATAAAAATCCTTTTCCAAATCTTCACATAAAAATAGAAAAATAATCTGGAACATAAAAACCGCTATCAACGCAGAGAAATGAGACAGAGAATCTTCGTCATCACGAGATTTGTTATCTAAATTTTGAGTGGCGTGGAGAGTAGGACAGAAAAAGAAAAAGATAGTGTTACTAGATAGACTGACAGTTCTTGTTTCCCCAATTGGAAAGACTCTATTGATTTTGAATATTTTTTGAATTTTTGAAAAGAAAAAGTTTTTTGTGCGCCATAAAGTTGAAGAATCAGAAGGTCTAATCTCTGGAAAATATGATATATTTAGTTCTCTATGGGTGTCATTTATAAGTTTTTGTTTTGCTGAAATTTATTTTTGCTGTTGCATAAATACCTCAACCCCTTTGTTTAAATCATTGAAATTATTGTTTACTCTATTCTTTTGAATTCCAATTTCTCGAACTAATATTTCAAAATCAGACAAAATAGATATTTCATATCACAAGTAAACTTTGATCCTTTCTAACTCGGTGCGTTTTCAAGATATTCAGCTGAAATTTTGGATTCATGTCAAAATAGATCATTTTCAGTCCATTTTTTGCTTGAAAATTCTAAAAATGGTCTATTTTGACATAAACTTTAGTCTAAAGAAAAAGTTTGATTTTGAAGCATTTTTGTAGTGAAATCTGGATAAATTCGGACTAAACAGTTATTTGATGTTTTTTCTTTTCGGAAATTCTGCTCATTTTTATTTGTCCTTATGTGGAAATTATTGAAGTTTATTCTCGGAATTTCAGGAAAATGACGGGCCCCGCATCTGCGAATTCGAATTCATCGCAGCCAGAGGAATGTTGCTTAGTTTGTCAGGATATTTCAACAGGATACCATTATGGTGTTCCTTCGTGTAATGGATGGTGAGTTTTGATTAAAACACAAAGTCTGACATGATCTAGGATGTTTCACCCACTGATTGTCGCTTTGTCATTCTTTTTTATTATTCGCAAGGGAGCACATAATATAATTTATGTACGCGGACTTCAATCGGATTATCAATTTCAGTAAAACATTCTTCCGTCGAACAATCATGAAGAATCAGACGTTTCAGTGCCAGTTTCAGAAGAAATGTCCAGTTGATAAAAGTGAGAAAAATTCACTTTTTAAAATTTAAAATTTCAAAATTTTGAATTCAGGTGTTAGATGTGCATGTCGTCATTGTCGATTCGAGAAATGTCTTCAAGTAGGAATGGATCGAAATGCGATTCAACAAAACAGAGATCCAATTGGATATACAAAACGAACAAGAAGATATCCTCCGGTTAAGAAAATTGAAGCTAGTGAGGAATGCTCTCCGTCAATGGTGAGTTGTATAGAATATCCCAAATACAAAAAAAACGGGTACAAAAATCAGAGCAGGTCCCACAGAGAAAACTACCGTGTCCTAAAAATTATTACTATTTCCGGATTTTGAATCTCGATTTTTGTCCGTTTACCGGTTTTTTTTGGATTTAGAACAATTTCACTTTACGACCTGTTTAGAGGTTTTCAGCAAAAAAGTTGTCTCGTTTCTTTTCCACGGCTCCATTTTTTGTACCAAAATAATAACTGTAACTGCTTTTAATAATTCAGCTGACTATAATTCAGTCTATTAAAAAAAAATCATCTATTAAACTTTTTTCAGGTTTCCGAAACAGACAGAAATGAGGATACAGCTCTATCTTTTCTCTCACTCACCGAAGCAAAGTGTTGTGCACTTCGACTGTCAGAATATCTTCCATCAAGGACATTACTTGAAGCTGTCATTTCTCCATGTCTTCTGATGGACGAAGTTTTTATGGCGGAGAAGGCTGTTTTGGTGAGCAAAGAAAAGAAGTTCATCAAAATATCTGAAATTTTGATTCCAGTCTCCTCGCCACACTATATCCAACACCCGTTTTGCAACCCAAACCGATTATCATTACTGGCATGAGAGGGATTGGTTTGTGATGATCGAATGGGCAAAGACATTGCCTGTTTTTCAATCTCTTCCATTTCCAGATAAGGTTGTTATTTATTGTTTCAATCTGAGTGTTCTCATCCTATTTATTTTCAGCTCGCTCTCCTCCGTCATTCAGCAATTACTTATCCATCTCTCGTTCATGTTTTCAACTCTCCCGATCATGGTCCAGACACCATTGTCTTTCCAGATGGAGCCTATTTCGATAGAACTCCAGAGCCAACAAGACCATTAGGATTTAACAAGAAGAAGTATCAAATGCTGGATCAACTTTTGAAACCAATGAGAACAATGGAAATTGATATGACTGAGTTTGCTGCATTCAAAGCAATTTTCTTCCTCAATCCAGATGCAGATGACGTTGATGCAAATGCCAAGAAAATGTTGAGTGATGGCAGAAGCGCCATTACTAATGCTCTTTATCGCTATATGGTCAAGAAGAAGGGGCCAGAAGATGCCGGCGATCGGTAAGAGATACAAAATCGTAACAATTCATTCAATTATAAGTTTTGAAGATTTGGTCGACTCCTTCTTCTGGGAACTGTACTTGCAACAATGGCTGTGGAGATGAAAGAAGCTGTTTTGGTTGCTGATTTCTTTGATCAAATTCAATTTTCTACTTTCGCAAAACAACTTTTATTTGGAATCAAAACAGAGTCAGATATTTGAAATTTTTAAAAATACTCTTTCATTTAGTTTTCTGTTGTTTAACCTGTCGATATTCATCCATCATAGTGCCTTTTCTTCAAAAATCAGTGATATACCAAACCACCTTCCGATTGTAATTTAACTAAAAAATATTGTTCCGAACGGGTATTTGTTATCAGTTAATAGTATCCGTTATTCTCCCAAAAACTGTCACCTCATTACCATTTTCAGCCAAATTTGTCGTCTAGATTCTGTCCCAATATATGATCTGCCTCTTTTGATACTTTATTCATGTTTGATATTAAATAAAAATGTATATTTCAATAAAAAGAGTTAATTAAAAGAAATATTGATAAAGATTACTCTAACAAAAGATGTACAATAACTAAGGAATTTGGAATCCGGAATTCGGACAAAAATCTTTTTCACGGAATCCGGAATTAAAAAATAACACACACACAGAATCCGAAATACTGAAACCGGAAACAGAACATCTCTGGTTTACACTAGTAATAAGTATTTGTACACCGTTACGTCAGAATAGATACCGTAACTCCAAAAACGAAACATTTCCTGCCCCGCCTCCTTCAATCAAGAAGACCGGGCGCTGCGTGATGTAAAACCCATTGAAATTCGAAAAAATAAACATTTAGCAAATATTGACCTGTATATATATATGTACTCATTTCCCAAAATAAATCGATTCTTATTTTTTTTCTGTATAATCATCTTCTTCTGTTTTTCGTTTGTGTTTTTCCATGCTGATTTTTCTGACCACTGCCTCTGGAAAGCTGTCCAAATAGTTCGTAAAGCAACACCTCGCATTAAAATACTACAGTAACCGGAGAGACAACAGACTAATCCCACTATATAATGCTCTGTGGAAAACAGGAATTCCATATCATAATTTTATACAGTTCTCATTTTTCAATAAATAAATCGAAAATGAAGACGGCAATTCTAGCTTTAATCTGTCTACAACTAGCTGATTCAGCAGCAGTTTTTGATAGAAACTATACAAAACCTTATGTCTTGAAGAAGACTTGGGTTCAAAATTTTATCAAGTTCCAGTACATTTTTGAGGGAAATCAACAGAAGCCAAAGATTGTGCCGCTAGGTGAGTAACCTTTTATCATTTGTGATGATTTCATACTTTTTCCAGGATGCTCTCCAACCAATGTGGATAGTGACGACTACTTGAAACCAGGAGAGACCAGCATTGAGCACGACTTCTTGTTCTCGTGTGAAGAAGGAGAAGATGGTGTCTTGAACTATGAAGCTACTGCATGTATCGATGCTTATGGACAAGTCATGCATCCAGGAGAGAAAAGAAGTCTCAGCAACGGAACTGTTGTTCTTCACTGTAACATCTATGGAGGAGCATTGAAAAAGGTTGTCGAGAGAGCAGCTGGTTGTTATTTCAACGAAACGATTTATTCTGAAGATGAGAAATGGGTTGAGCTACAAGTCAATCCAGTTGATTCCTCAATCGACGGACGTCTCATGCAATGCTTCCGTCCACATTACAGCTATTACGAGAGCCACGTCGTCGGATGTGTTATTGGAAAACTGGGAGTTCTTATCGGAGAATTCGGACAACTTCTAGATGGATCTTACGTGAAATGTGTTGAGGCTGAACTAGGACATGTTAGCTTGAAGCAAGTCAGCGTCGATGGTAAATCCATAAAAATCAAAAATAAAAATGAAAATCAATCAATTTTCAGAATTGCAATGTAACATGGATGACAAGACCTTTGCTCATGCCAGCCAATGGACCGATGAGAAGAAGGGTGCAAATATGAAATGCAACTTTGGACATATCGTAAAGGAGTGTAAGTTGCAAAACATCTGAACTCGAGTAAACCTCTATTTCCAGCCTGTGTAATTGGAAACGAAACTCTCCCAATTGGACAAGAAGTTCCAGTATCTCGTGGATGCATCTTCCTCTGCCATCCACAAACCAACGTCTACATCTGTGATAACTATTTGCCAGAATTCCAAGTGGTTGATACAGAGTCAGAGGACTTGGGACCAATCGAGGGAAATCAAGTTGTGGTTGAACAACCCGACAAGAAGAAATCCCTGAAAACCGTTTTCAAATTCTAGATTCTAGAATCTAGACTCGACCCATTTATAAGAAATTTTGTATGTAAAAACGATCACACTTTTTTGGTTCAATTAAATAAATAAATTTCATTCGTAAAACATAAAAAAGAAGATCAATCAATCAATTAGTCCGTTAATTGCAACTGGTGGAGGATTTGGGTTGGGATTCACATGAACATCTCGTTTCAGCATGAACATTATGAATTCTTGTTCCGTGAACAAAGTGTACATTTTATCCGGGTCATTCTTGTAATGGTCCAAGTTCACCTGGAAATGATGAGAAGTTGAGCAACAAAAACGCGCCGAAGGCGCGCCAGCCAGGCTAGTATAATAAAATAAAAACGAACTAACCGTTCCATCGTGAATGACAAAAAGAGGTGAAGTGTTGACATGGAGATATGGACGAGAACCGATATTGTATTCCTCTTTATCCGGAAATTTATCGAGCATGACACCTCCGTGCATCATCACAATGTTGGAAAGCAGAGCAACTGAAAATATGATAAACCTATTTTTTCTACTATCAAGATTCCTATTACTGTTCTCATATCCCGGCACAACAACTGCCACGTAGAATCCATATAAATATGGCATTGCTCCTTTAGCCATTGCAGTTGTCCACTGGGTTACAGTATCATAGACCACTCCTTTATACTTGACTTTCTCTACCAGGAAATCAGCATCATGATTGATGAGATCCTCATTTTTTAAACATTCCGTCATCCATGAATCTTTTACTATTATCACTCCACTGAATATCCAAAGCAGTATTTTCAAATCGTCTGTCTCCAAGAGTCCTTCCTTATCAGTTTTCACAATACAGTGAGTTGTAGTGGGGAGAAATCCATCAGATGACTGAAATGCAAATAAAATTTTAAAATTTTGATTTCGAAACTCACGATAGCCTGAAACTTGTCGGTGAATGCATTGGTAAGTTCATCATCAGTCCGTCCGTCAATGTAAATGTGGAAGGAAGTATTTGGAAATAAATCAGGTACATGTAACCGGAATTTCTTCTTCCGATACTTCTTATAAATCTTTTCTACTTGCTCAAATCTCGCAATTTTCTCTTTTTGATTTTCCCGATAATCAGAAGGAATCATCTGTTCTGGGGTCTTGTTTTGAGCATTCAAAAGTGTTCGATCAGCTCCATATCTAATCAGAATGTCCACGATTTCTGGGTAAGCTCGTTTCGTTGCCAAATGGAGAGCAGTGTTGCCAAGTTCAGGTGGAAAATCTGATCATAACATTAGGCGCCGCAATGAAAGGGGGCAGGGCGACCAAATTTTTCTCCCCTTTTCAGAAGTCCATCTTTGAAGTCTTGTACCGGTCGTTAGAAACTCATTATTTTTTTGGGTTAAAACTTGTCCCTACGTAATCGACTGCGATAAATCGAATGGAACCATCAATTTTTCAATATTTTATGATAACATTAAAAAAATGCACATTGCTAAAACCGACTCACTAGCATACACATTAATGTAGACTCCTCGCTTCACAGCTTTCAGAACATGTTCCTTATGAATTTCTCGGACACCCTCCAAAAGAGCATTCTTACCATCAACTCGATCCATGAATAGCTGGATAAGAGTCCGAAGTGAGTATACGTAAGAAAAAGATAGAAACGTACCGAATATCTCCACCGCTTCGCGAATTCTTTCGGCTTTGGGAAATAGTAAAAGTAGAGTTTCCTGTATCTTTCTCTTCCACTTGCAGTCAATCCATATCCAACAATCCCGATTATGGCCACGACAATGAATATGGCAATTGAGATCCCGAAAACCAGACCAAATGCATTTACTGTTCGTTTTCTGAAAAACAAATAAGGTAATATTATTTAAGAAGTTTCGAAAGAAATATTTTTCGAAACTCACTTTCTAGGCTTGTCAACAAGGTCAAAAATATCATCGAAATACGTTCTAATGTTTCCAACACTCAGTGAAGCAGCAGGAAAATATCCTCTGTGAGATGAGAAATCCAAATCCAGATCGCTCAATTCTTTGGCATTCTCCAGGTTTCCAAACTTTTCCCCGTCCGAATATTGAATTAGTTTCAATTGATTGTACACTGAACCAAAAACTTCTGGAAATCCTTCCACTTTTTTTGCTTTTAAGAAAATCTGCTTCATTTTTTCAATTTCCGCATCCTTGACTGTTGCAGCAAACTCGTTCAAAGTGGTCAGATCTTTTAGAAGTTTGGTGATTTTCTCCGCTGGATTTTTCCAGAAGGTTCGCACAAAATCATTTGAATTATTCGTTCGTATGATGTTACTGACAACTGGATTGTATTTTGTAGATTTCAGAAGTTGTTCTTTCTTCTCATACGCTTTTGCCATTTCATGAATCATACTTACTCCTCGGCTAAAACTAACTGATACTTCCTTTGATTTTTGAAACTTCAAAACAGGATTATCTTCTGATGGTTTTATATTTTGTCCGATTTCTTTGATATGTTTCTCAACACCGGTTAAGTATTTTCTCATCTCCAAGAACTGTTTGAACAGTTTTTTAGTCCCTTCGAAATGGTTTGTATCCAGAGCAGGTGCCACATATTTCATTGCCTCATTTATAGAATGTGTAGCGAATTTCCCATCTTTGAGACAGGACGAAAAGTTCATGTAATTGGATGTACCCAAATTTTTGAAAACTTTTTCGAATTCCTCTTTTGCATTATCTGCTTTCCCTGTGTTGAAAACATCTCCGAATTCTTTTTGTAACTTTTCAAGTCCATCAAACATTGAAATAAAGTTTCGAAATACTTTATAACCATGTAGTTGTGCAACTTCTTGGACCATTTCACTAACATCCTTTGTAGAGAACGTATGGCTGTTTAAATCATCAAGAAAATGATTGATAACATCAGGATCTATGGTGAGAACCACTTTGTCAACCCAATTCTGGACGTCATGGACCAATGTATTCATTTTCTCGAATACCAATTTCTCAATATCGAAATTTGTGAAGTTCCGATTTCCGGGTTCCAAGGTCACATTAGCATAACAAGAACTGACAGTGTTATTGAGACTATGCAACGCATCGACATCAATATGTTGTGAGCGATCTTCTACTACTATCAGCATCTTTGCGGTGATTTCCAATTCATCACTCGATGCACTGAACTCGGCTTGAAAGTTCTTCCATCGTTCCCTCAGTTTGACCATTCTCTCTCCAAACTCGAAAAATCCATGAAGACTCTTTTCCAGTTCTTCTGTACTTTTTCCTCTAGAAATTTCCTTTTTGAACCAGTCACTTTTCAAGTCAGCAGAAACTTTGATGAGATCATCGACTTCTAGAAAGCCAGCTGTCAATGAATGAGCAGGACCATTTTTGGTTTCAGCAATAGTTTTCAGATGCTGGATTCCTCTTTTCAACATTTTTCCAACAGTTGTAATTTTCTCTTGTTTCATGGAACTTTCCAATTTGGTTGCCATCGACATCAGGGTATTCACATAGTTTCCTAAGTTTTCCAGTTCAGAAGCATTATTTATCTTGTCAATATTCTGCCTCATCAGTAGGATATCGCCGATTGTTTCGTATTCGTCATCAAATGGTTCCCGTACTTTTCTACCGTAGTTCTTGAAGTTTTGCATGCACATCTTCAATTTATCACTGTTATCTTTCAATGTTTTAACAGTTTGTTTATCCTCATTGGTATACAAAGACACGATATCCTTTTTGTCGGATAGATCATAATATTTCTTCGCATTTTCAACAACGGTCGAATCACATGCGATAAAATTGTTTTTGAAATGTATATCATTGATATGATCCAGAAACGTTTGTACATGTGAACCGATTCCTTTTTTAAATCTGTTGAAGTTCGTGGCTTTGTTCAGCATGGGCATGATCTTGTTAATATCATCAAACGTACTCTTACCGTTTGGATAGTCGCTAGCAATTGATTTCAGACGAGTTTCCAAATCTTCAAGTTCCGGACGGAACTTACTGAGATCATTCTTGGTAACAATAGCAAAACTTTCGGTGTTGGCTTGAAGAAGTTCTGTGATAACTTCTCTAATTTTGACCGTTTTTTGGATAGAAGACGATTGGAGAGCGATAGCATTGACGATTCGACTCAATGTAGCGAGTTTGTTATAGACGATGAGAAGTTCTGAGTCTGAAACGTTTCAATTTTTGAATCGCGTCATCAAAATTCCTAACAAACCTCCAGATGATCTTTCATCACGAACCAGCTCAGTTCTCAGACTTTGTTTCGACTTGATACATAAAATGACAAAAATGATGCCTGTTTGAGTCCACATTTGACAGTTTTAAAGTTGAAACAATCTTGTGACTCTTAAATTGTATTTCGATGATTTGTTTCAGATTCTTTTAAACTTACATTGCCACTTATGAACTGTTACATTGCCACTTATGAACTCGTGGATGGCTCTTCGGCGGTTTTTCTATGAGAACCAGTGTGACATAAAAAATCACGTTATATATTTTTGTTTCATCGTGAACTAAAGTGGTAGGTAGATATTATGTCGAACAACTGAAGGGAAGAAATCTCCAGAAGACGTGAGACGAATTTGAAGTTCTTCATGTATCCCATCGGGTTGCAAATCAAGAAAACTTCCTTCTTGAAGATCACAAGCCAAAAAACTATGGAATATGAAAACTGACGCTGATTAACTTGAATCTGAACAACAAAGATGTGTTAAGAAGATACTTTGTTATGTCCTTCTGGTGGCTATGAGACGAGGGATAAACTACTAGTTTATTTACATAGAGAGAACCATTTAATACAGAGTTCAATAAGCTTATATAGCAGTTGCTATCGCCACGTAGATCTGAGGGTTGACGTCATCCAGACAGTTCACGTCACAACACCTCCCCTTCTTCACAAAAAGTCCCTTGTCTACTGCCAATGATCTTCCACGAAGTACCACGACAGCTGCTGCTCAGACTCCACAGCTTTCCTTTTGACTGGATACATCTCAGTCGTTGTTGCATCGATTTTGATATGATCTCCATCTCAAGGGCAACCAGCACGTCGTCCATGAATCCGGTTTTCCTGCAGGTACTTATGCCTGCTTACCAGTCCATACAGAGCATCCATCCGTTGCTGAATTTTGGAATTTATGTGGAACAGTATACTTTACTAGTATCCACGACCATTTGTCAGAAGTTCATCGATCCTTATTGATCTTCACTCGCGGTTCTTCGATCTTCACTCATTTTTGCTTCGTCGATCTTCACCTCCAACGGCGCTCCCGGCTTTCTGAATGTGATCCCAAGATCTCCATCCACCACGACGGTTTTTTCGATGCCGAATCCACGAACACCGGGGAACTTCTCTTTCCTCTTCCTCGCTCCGCTTCCCACCAGACATCATTGTTCGATGGATCCAGCTTCCATCATCTCATTCTGATCGCCACTGTTATGTCCTTATGGTGGCTATGAGACGAGGTTAAACTAAGAGTTTATTTACATAGAGAGAACCATTTAATACAGAGTTTAATAAGCTTATATAGGGAGTTGTTATCGCCACGTAGATCTGAGGGTTGACGTCATCCAGTTCACGCCACAACATACTTCTTCCTAGCTTTGAGAATGAAAAACTGATTTAAGAAGAATTAAAAGGATGAGAGAGATAAAATTCTCTTTATTCAAAAAAAGGAAATTCACAGGAAAACACTTCCGAGGAACAACATACAGAAAAAATGGGAAATGCTCACTTGGTGAGAGAGGAAAAAGATGTATAGAAAACACAACTAGAAAAAAGAGAAATATGACCATTGTCACACTTGGTGTGAGAGAATTAGGAGACTCTGAAAATGGTGTACTCAAGTAATTCTGCTGGAAGAAGAACCCTGATGGGAAAGAGTATCAATTTGGCACTTGATTAAGAAGAAAAATACAGAAACAACTAAACAGTAGTGACATCGATGAACGGTTCCTCTTCTTCTACTTTTTTGATTGGGCGGAGTGCTTCAAATGGGATTCCTGCGATCATAACTTGTGTTGGCTTGTGGTTACTATCCCGATGAACATTCAGAGTTCTGAGTTGGCAGAACCCTTTCCCGCAGATTTCACATGTGTGTGGCTTCACTTTGAAATGGATGTATCGGTGATCACGGAGATGATCCTGACGACGGAACGCCTTCTGACAGATGTCACAGGGATAGGGACGCTCGTCAGTATGAGTCCGTTCGTGAATGAGGAGATTGTAGGATTTGGTGAACTTTCGGTTGCAATACTTGCAAATGAACTCCTTCTTTGGACGGGTGCGTGGAATATGGTCTGGGCGATGGGGTGGTTTCAGAAACCTGGAAAATAAAACTTCAGATAACGTATCCAGAAACTTTCAACATTTAACTACCGTAGCCTTTTAAAAATCACTTACCACGGCGTGTCGAATTGCTTGAAGAGCTGTGCTTGGATTTGGAATTGAAGCATGTTCTCAACAGTAAGTGGAAGTGGTACAGAAGGTGATGAGACACTTGGTGTTGGAGATGGAGTTGAGGATGGACTCAAATTCAAAGAGTTCAGCCATGCTACGAGGTCAGCCGATTGATAGTTCTCTTCCGGTGCTGGGGTCTGTTGACGTAAGAAGTTTTGGAAAACCATTTTCTGTTGCTCCAACATCAACATACGAAAGACTTCCTCTGTTGATGGGACAACTGGAGCACCCGGAGAGTTGCTACCAGGAAATGGCATACCTGGAAGATGTTATCAATAGAATAAAGAAGTGAACGGTATGCAAAAAAAACGGTCAACCGAGAGCACACAGAACAGAGTATATTCAAATGATGGGACCCAGAAGGTCATAGAGAGTGTGATGAAACATGGAGAGTAGAAAATATGATAAGGAATTGCTGATAAGTCTAAGAAAGGAACTTGATCAGAGAAATAGCGGGTAATGAGAAGATAAGCAGAGAGTTGGTAGGTGCGACACTGTGCCACCTGTTGACGATTTATGGAGAGTCAATGGGTCTGGAAGGAAGAAGAAAATAGGTTAGGAGAGAGAAAGAGAGAAGGGAAGAAGACTATTTTTGGGTTTTCTCAGAAAATATAGAAAATAGCTATTTCGAAAGATGGAGTTATAAACTACAGTACCGGTCAATAGGATATACAAAAAAAATAGTTTTCAGTTGATTTTCGGCCATTTTGACCATTTTCCGGAGTCTGGAGCTCGACTGTCAAGTTTCCGATCACTTTCAAAATTTTGGAGATTATAAAACAGACCTAGCTTGAAAAATTTGCATTCACACAATTTTTGAAAATTCCTAGTTTTTCAGCTATTTACCGATTTCTAAAAGAAACTTCTTTTCATTTTTTTAGAACTAAAACGGGCAAGAAAAGGGTATCTTATAGAAATCGGTAAATATCTGAAAAACTAGGAATTTTCAAAAAACTTTGTGAATGCAAAGTTTTCCATCGATGTCTGTTTATACCTTTCAAAATTCTCAAAGTGATGGGACACTCGACAGCCGAGCACCAGTCCCCTGAAAAAGATCAAAATGGCCGAAAATCAACTGAAAAAAATGTTTTTTTATATCTTATTGACCGGTACTGTATATTCTGATATACCATTCCCACGGTCCTATTATTATATCACAAATAAATTTGGGAATCTATTTGGTATTCAAAATACTTTCTTAACAGGAAGAAACCGTTGAATGCATTCCAGTGGAACGGAAAATGACAATTCTCTGTCTCCGCCCAGATTATCCATCCTCTCTTTATCACCCCCACACCTTTTTCTCCATTCAAATTCCAATAAGAGCACCGACTGTTTTCTTTGTTCCGTCAGTCATAAAATTGTGACTCGATTCCCCATTAATGATCGGAACTCGGCGGCTCCCAAAAAGGAAGTCGGTTAGTGGAGTGATGATGTACAAAAGAAGGGTGATAGCGACAGGAGCGGGGAGGTCGTAAAAGAAAAAAAAAAGGAAGGAGGACATGATTAGACAAGAGAGAGTTGTTTTTGAATTCTGTGCGTTTCGGAAGTGAAGAAGAACACGTGGTGAAAGAATGCTACAGTATACCCAGAAGAACAGTGAATCTAGTTTGAAAGATCTGTGAAATGGGAACACTAGACAAATGGAGAGAGAACATTTGTCAAAACACCAAGAGGCATCGGGTCTATTTCGAAAATCTCAAACGAATGTGAGTCAGAAATTGAACTATGAGGAAACTCGTGATGTCGCATATAGGTCAGTGCAAAACATTACTCACTTTAGTGGTTTGAATTTTCAAGCTTTCTAAAGAAGTCCAGACTATCTAGCGTCCCAGGCCTCCGGGGTTCCCATTAGAAATTTTAGTTATTACTCCGGAATAATTGGAATGCGCGCTGCAGCTGAAAATTCGAGTGTGGGCGGAGCTTAGGTACGGTAGCGAAATTCTTAAAGGGGGCATTTAAAGCATAATGTATTTTTGTAATTATTTTTCTGGCCTACTTTCTTCGATTATTCGATACATTTCATGGATTTTTCAATAATTGTTGTTGTTTTCCTGCATTTTTTTAAACGATTTTTCTGATTTTTGAAAAAAGTTCAAAACCGATGAAATTCATCGAAAAATCAAAAAAAATTGGCCAAAAAATTTAAAAAGACATGCTCCTTTAAGAATTTCGCTACTGGACCTAAGCTACTGGACCTAACCACCCTTTCGGCCGTGACGCGCATTGAAATTAGACCAGAGTAATAGCTGTATTAAAATGTCGTATATCTGGACAATGACACTGACTTCTTTAATTAGAATGATTTAAAACTCAGAAACCAAACAATCGAAATGTCCGACTATTGGTAGCAATGAAGTAGCACAAATGCATCATCAACAACTCCTCCCTCGCTATCAAAAAATGATGAAATTCCAATTTTTGTTTCTTTCTACAGTAATCCTTTTAATGTTTAAGCAACTGAAAATCCGATCAATTTCTTCTCAATCACTACTGATAACTGAACATAGTGGATCGGATTTAATCCGATTAACAACAAGACGACTTTTGTTCATTCTGAAAATGGAAGCCAATTTTACCAATCGGGAGCACTCGACTCGAGACTGATAACAATGGGTTGATCAACTGATAAAAATTGATTCGAAAAGAGGAAAAGAGCAGAAAAGAACTCGAACTCCAATATATGGTAACGTGGTGGCAGATGGTGAAGAAAGAAGCACATGAAAGGGAAAGAACAAATAGACGAGAGGAGGCAGTCCGTTCCCAAACTCATGAAAAAACCGAAAGGACGCACCTGGAGGGTTCCGCGGCTCTCTCCATTTGTGCATTATATTTCTAAATGGCCGATTTCAAATTTTATAACCCCCATTTTTTTGGTAATTGGAGTGTGGTAGTAAATTGCGAAACTGAGCAATGAAAATTCCTCAAAGAAGGAAATATGAAAAGAATAGGGAAATTCATAGCACTGGTAACTGGAGAAGGGTTAGTCAGAAAAAATAGGATTGTAGGTTTCTAACTTGATTGGCGAAACTATTGCAATGAGGCATTTATATCGGGACCGAAAACTTTTCCGAAATTGAGAAATTGTTTTTTTCGAAATTGAGAAAATGTTGAAAAGAAACAGTTTGCATAAATTCTACTTTGAAAATAGGAGTTTCGATAAGTTTCATAAAAACTGTTCATTTCACTTCATCAGACGGGGACGAGCTGGATCAGCCTGGCTCTCGGAGCCATCGAATGGTTAAAAAACAAAGGAATCTCAGAAATTTAAACAGATTTCTGTATACAGAAATTTCTGAGCTACTAGTAGCATTTACACTAAAACAAATGCCTGGCTTTTCTTTTTCTCAGAAACCGCCTACTTGTTCCAATCAGATTCGTTTTTTTTGCTCAATTTGTGCTGGCCATATTCTCTTCAATACCTTTTAATATGTTTTTCCAATTTCACTTCCACCAAACAAAAAACTATTTTTTTATTAGTGCTAATAAACTTTTTTCTCCTCTCATACGTAGCCAACCTGTGTTAAAACAAGAAACTACATGAAGAATGGTTTAAAAAAAATCAAAGAAATCAAAAAAGGTAAACAGCTGATAAGCGTTAAATAGAGGGCAAAGTCTGTGATGCTCCTTAATTTTTTACTGAAAGTGTCAGTAAAAGTATGAAGCAGTCTGGAAACGAACTCAGATTTTTAAAAATGTGTTCTTATGCGCATCTTTCAGTGCCTCAAACGAAAGTGAACCATCTGACAGCTGGAGGAAAAAGTCCCCATCTGGGCAAGACAAAAGTACAAAAGAGTTTTTCTGGAGAAAGTGAGTGAAATACTCAAAGAGTACACTTTCTAGGTTTCGGATTGTAATTTGGATCTTTTCGTTTTTTGAGGACTACTATAGTGATATCGCGAATGTGCAACTTCTGTAGGAGGGGTTCATTAATTTTACGAAATCGGAAAAGCAGATAACACTTTTATACAGCGAAGGCAATTTTCCTTTCCAATTCCTATTCTGTAGGTGGGTTATTTGGTTTTCACTAATTCCCCCAAGGTTTCATGACGTTCGAAAATTGGAAAGCACACCTTTTTTTGCAAAAAAATTACCGACGAGAAGTCTTCCGATTTTCTTTTCCATCCTGGGAAGTGTTTCCCGAGCAAGAAGCGAAAAAGGAGTTTTCCAGATTTTTGCATCGTGTATGCGATTAAAGTTTGAAATGTTTGAAATTTTGGCAATCACATATTCTCGAGGTGCTTATTTTTACCAAAAACTCTAAAATTGGTTCAGAATATCCATGAAATTTGAAAAAAATTAATTTCCTTTTGCTCGGTACATTTTTTTAGTCTCGTAAATCGACTCTCGTAAAAAGAGCGCTGCTTGCAAAATATTCATTAGGTGTCAGTTCAATTAAACAATAGTACCAACAAGCTCTCTCTGATTTCGCTTCAACCCATTCTAGAAGATTCCGATGTTTTTAGAATTTAACTACCACAAAACACATTATGAAAAAAGCATATGCCGGGGAGGGGAATCGAACCCCTAAAGGATATATATCCACAGGCTCGCGAGGCCCGCGCCTTTGCCACTTGGCTACCCCGGCTACAAAAGCAATAGAAACACAACAAAGATTTATATTAATTTTAGAGTGAGCAAGGATTACTGTAGTTGTTTTTTGAAAGTTTTTATTGTTGTTGAACGAATTTATTCACAGATGAAAGTTTCCGTAACACAAATAAACGGTTTTTTTGGAATTAATTGGTTTAGTAACTGCGCAAAATAGACTTTTCTAACTAATTGGTAGTTCTTCGAAAAAATAAAATTGAGGGGTAGTGTAAACATTAAGAACGTCATTGGGATAGCAGAATGAACAAATTATTAAAATGAATCTTTGACAAGTTTTCTCAATGGGAGGGCTGGTTGATGATATTTGAACAGAACAACGACATCATCAAGATCCTTGATGGTTTTTGTGAGAATATTCGACAAGAATAGAAGATTTGTGAATCTGGTTGGCCATGATGCTTTACACTTATTTTGACAGATGGCTTGAAGAGCAGAACTGTAGATTCTTTGGTACTGACTTATTACATTCATCGAGAATTCCGAAAGACCAGCAACACCTAAAAATTGTAAATTTATAAAATCAGGAGATCTTAACATGACTCACTTGGATCACAGATGATTATTGTAACAACCAAAAGAAGTTCCTCTATTGAGACATCGAATTCACGAAATTTCGAGATGAGAAGAGTACGAATTCTATTGAGAAGTTTTGGAGAGTAATCAGGAACATTTGATATTTCCTCTGGAAAAACATCGACATTATCTGGGAATGTCATAAATTCCATTTTCGCCATATAGGATCGAACAGCAATGAAGAAGATGGCACACTTGAAATGGGCATTCTTCACAAAGATCATCAAATCATTGGAGGTTAGAATATGAACCAGGTCAAGGTTTTTCATGAATTCAATAGTAGAATAAATCTCCATCGAAACCCAATCATGGGAAGTGAATCGGACACCTTGATCCTTGATTTTGGGAACTCCAGAGATCATCAGTTGATCCAGGCTCAGATCTTCACACATCTGATAATTGAAGAACGTATTGTTTCGTTTGTGGTCCATTTTGATTAGGTTTTGTATAAGAGTCGCATGTTTGTATTTTTGGATGCAGCTGATTTTCATTCCACCAGCAATGCAAGCACTGAATCTGCAGCAACGACAGCTTGTGGATTTTTTGTTTCCACAGAGACAATGATCGAACTTAGTTTCAAACTTCATTACTCTACGAAATACCATTTTGCACGGATTGCAGCTGATAACCTGGAATCATTGTTATTATTTCAGATGGGCAATGGATCAATCCGAGAGTATACCATTTCTGGGGTATTATTTTGGTACAAGAAATCAGAGCTGTGGAAGAGAAACGTAGGTGGCCGTGGCCGAAGCTCTCACATAGACAACTACCGTAATTTTGAATATTTTTATTGACCGTAGATAATAGAATTCAGATTACAAAAATAGAGATAATAAAAATATTTTCAGGTTACGGTAGTTATCGTTGTGGGACCTTCCGCCACGGCCACCGAAATCTCTCTTCCACAGCTCCGGCTTTTTTACCAGAATTATATTTTCAGTTGTAAGAAACAGAAATTTTATCGCAGAACAAGGACTTACTCCATAATTAAATTCGTCGGTCAAGTTGTTACAAATCGAACAGGGTCTGGAAACCAATGAGACGCGAGGTGACATGTCTAAAATAAAAAAGAAAGATGAAAGCTGATATGAGTTGAGAAAACAAAAAATGAGGTAGACATTTCATGCGACTGAGGGTTTGTTAAAATCAGAATTGAACCGAAAAGTTAGTTGAAAGGGAGCAAAAATGTTTTACAGGAGACTACAGCAAGCACACTTCGTGTGAACTCAGGGAAGACATAAATACATGCTTCGATGGCGATATTGAGAATTCTTCTAATCTTACAAAATGTTGTTTTTCGATCTCTTTGGAATTTGGTTGTTTTATTGTGCTCGAGTAGGGGAGAAAATATCAAAATGGGAATCACGAGACAAGACTTTCCGTCAGAAAGGATTCAGTCGGATCAGAAGACGTGGTTTCTGGTTTGGGCTCACACTTTGATTCTTGAAAGATCATCTGAGATTTGAGCACAATGAGATTATGATTCAAGAGATGTCTAATGACAGCTGACTTGAGTACAGAAAATTCAATCATAGTGACTCAGGTGGTGAAAAGGACAAAGATGACTCAAATCACAAATTTAGACTTTTAGAACACAGAAAGCCTCGACATCATCGTCGTGAGAAGTACATTTAAGAATTTCGAATATAAGAATATTTTATCGGCATGCAATAATTGGAGCTGTGGAAGAGAAAATCAAATGGCCAGTACGAATTCATTGCCATAAAGAAAATCGCAGTGTTGAAATAAGTTTTCTTGATGAATCCGGTGACTTCTGTTTCCGTTAAATGCTTCATCACATCGAAAGTTTTCATGAATTCGATGGTAGTTACCATTTGAAGATTGGCCCATTGATGCGAGTCCAAATCTTGAATATTCACAGTTTTCGTTTCGAATTTGATTGGTCCTCTTCTCATTATCTCTTCCAAACTAGGATCTTCTCTTGGCTGCGAATTTATGAAATTTGATGATCTAACAGCGTTTCTCGCATTCAGAGCTTTCAAAAGTTTGACATCTTTGGACTCTCTGAACATGCTGAGTCTTAATTGGAAGCATTTAATCACCGTACATTTTGGGCATCTATAATTGGAATGATTACATATGATTGGCGATTGTCGTTCTGTCTTTATTAGCGTATGACGACGGTATACCATTTTGCAACCATTACAGAAATTTATCTGAAAACGGACCGGGCCGGGCTTTTTCCGGAATTTCGGAGGCCCGGCCCGGCCCGGGCCCGTCATTTCACTAGTTTCGAAATTTTCAAAAAACACATAAGGGGGACCCTTATGTGATTTTTTTCGACCAAAAAAATTTTTTTCGAGTTTTTTCGATCTTTTTTGATCAGACAGACAAACAATCCGAAATACGAAAAAAAATGGAAACAATTATATTGAGAGCTCAAAATTTGGCTCAAAAATACAGAATTTTTGACACCGGCCCTTCCGACTTTTTTTTGACACCGGCCCTTGCCGGGCCTTGAAAATTTCCTCAGGCCCGGAATTTTACAAGTATGGAGCTGTGGAAAACGCTTGTGGGCGTGGTCATAGCGAAAACCACCGCAACCTGAAGTTTCGGTCATTTTTTCTCAACCATTTTTTTCGGTCATTTTTCTCAATCACTTGTGCTTTTCGACAATTTTTGTAGATTAAAAACTGTTTGCCAACTACAGTAGTTTGGCCGTGGCCGCGGCTAACATATGCTCTCTTCCATTTGCATACCAACATAATAGATATGCTTATTTTTCTTATCTCTTCACTTTTTTTCCTGTTTATTTTTGTTTTCCTATCATAAGATTTCCGCTAGGAACTTCTTTCCCGTAATCGAGCAAAGACTAGACTCCACACATGATAGAAAAGGAGCCGAGTCTAATCTCTTTATAGAAATCCGAGAGCAAAATATCAGAAAAATATGATTTGTACTTTATTTTATTTTTGCAAAAATAAGAAATGAATGAATTAAAAATGAAGTTATTGAGGTAGAAATAGTTCAAGAGCTCAAAAGTTCCGCACAGAGTCTTTTGTATTTTTCAGTTGGAGGACGAAAAGTGAACATGAAGCATAGTTGTCCAATGTCCTCGATATGCTTGTTGATGACGTGGCAAACGGATAGTAACTCTGTGAATCTGGATGGTCCCTTCTGTTGATAAGTTATAAGGCAATATTGAAAAAGTGCAGAAGTGTAAATCTTTTGCTGGATAGTTAGAATGGATCTTCCTTCGTCGGATAAATTATCGACAGCTGAAATTTAAAAACATTTAGTAACTGGTGTGGAAATTAAGATGCTACCTGGGTTGCACACAAGAACAGAAGTGAGAAGCAGAAACTCTTCTTCTTTGATATTCAGCTCAACTAATTTCCCAATCAATCTACTCTGAACTCTCGCGAGAAAATCATCAGTACAGAATGGAACCAATTGATGTGGAACTATACTTTCTCCATCAGGATACTGTATAAATGCAGATTTGATAGAATACGATCTAATTGCTTTAATAAGGGTCGCAGTCTTGAAACACGTGGCTTTGAAGATAACATGCAAATCGTTTGTTTCCAACAGTTGGGCAAACTCGAACTTGCTGATGAATTCAAGAGTTGTCAGTTGTTCCATAAATCCCCATTCGGATTTTGTGAGTTTCTCATCTGTAGACTTTTTGGTTAAAGCTGGAAACTTTTCGATCACTTGAGCAAGATTCGGATCGTCCAGGCACTGGAATCCCATCAGTTTATTTGACCTATCCGAATTTCTTCTCGACAAACTTTCAATCAAGTCTGATAGATTGACATATTGATTGGTGTTCAGTTTCATTCCGAGGTTCAAACATTTCTGGAATCGGCATAGTTTACAGGCGAGGATCATTTCGTTTTGGTCGCAGTTTCCATTATTTGCACAGAATTTTTCAGATTTTCCAAGGATTGCTCTACGGAAGAACATCTTGCAAGCATTACAAGATGAGACCTAAAAATGAAACTACATATATCAAGAGAGTCTGTATAGAAAAACACTTACTCCATAGTTGAAAGCATTGCTAGGTCTCGAACATATAGCACAAGCTGATTCAACCGGCGTGCTCATTATGTCAAAAAAGACAAGACTGACAGGAGGATTCTGTTTTCAGGCAAGCTACAAGTCAGAATATCGAGAGACACGACCTCGTTATATAGTGCCCTGAAATCTTAACGAAGCAAAAAGAGGAGAGTGGATTAGGAGTCGAAGGTGTGGTGACGATGTGGGCAGAAGAAGAAAAATAAGAGTGAGAAGACTAGACTCTCTGACTGATAACATCATTGAAAAGGAATCCCAGGTGTTTCGTGTTTGATCATTTATGGGGGAAGCCTTCTGAGAAAAGCTTTCCAGAAAACTGATTGTGCACTCGATAAACACTGATTAGGCGTGGGGATTTTGATTAGGTATTTCGTAGTTTTTGTGCTCTTAACAAGATTGTCTCAAGTAGATTGACATGATCCTATTGGCATGATTGAAGAGATATCATATAATGACGGTATTGGAACGAAACCAAAAATGAAGCCAAATATTCGATAATTCTAGACAATTGTGTTTTATCGAAGGAATAGTGACAAAAACAATCAAATACTTTTCTAGATATCCAATATTATTTTTTGTACCGAATTCAATATAAATTGTTCTACGTTCCCCCATTCTGAGTGATTCCAAAAACATTTGGTTTAGGATTCGTTGAGAAGAAGGCCTAGAAAAAGTAATATCTATAATCCAATTCCTAGAATCACAAGATGATCCCATTTACATTCCGATTTGAAATTCGATTCTAAATTCTCTCGTCACTCAATTTTTCCGTGATTGATCTTTCTAGAAAGAAAATATCGGGCTTCTCCGAGATGCTGACTCAACTAGACTCTTTTTTGATTACGGCTTGATTTTGCAGACTTTGATGTCATTTCAACCAAATAAAGGGCTAGCATGCATTACACCAGACAAGGAAATCTCTCATGTCTTAAAGCTCATTTTCTAGGGAATAGGAAGCATATATCTTCAAGAAGCTGGATATGGTTTTAGTATGTGAAACTTCATGTTACTACGACAAGTACAGATTCATTATGAAGGAAAGTTGGAAAAATGGGAAATGTTAGACATACCGTAAAACCTTTTTTAGAATGGCCAGCCCTTCTACTTTTCTGAGCCTCTGCCGGAGATCCTTTCTATTACAGGGGCCCTTTTATTTTTACGACGATTTTTCCGAAAATTTCCATCAAAACAATAGGTTAATTCTCGTTCAAAATTCGTTCAAATCTGTCAATGTCACTAAAATTAAGCTGGTTCTTGAGCAAAAAAGACGGTTTCAGCTTCTGCCAAATTATGAAATTTCCTGAATATATTTCACTGAAAACGTACGGAAATTGTTAATTTCAAACAACTCATTTCAAGGGGGCCTTCTATTTTTCCAAGCCGTCTGAAAAAAGATACGGACAGAAGCAGAGTTTCTTCGTAGTCAGATTTTTTCTGTTTTCCACTTTTTGCTCACATGATTCTAACCCGTTGAATAATAAAAATAAATCTACGAAATTCGTATTATCCGTCTGCGGTCTTTTTTGGAATCCTTATCCTCCAGATCAAATTGTTTGTTTAAACGAACTGGATCAATCTATATCAAAATGTATCAGTAGCTCTTTTCTAAACTAAAAAGTTTTTTTGAAGTTGGATCGACACTTTTTCCATAAAGCGTAGTTAGAGACATTTTTCTGCTACCTCGCTCCAAACTAGATTAAACTTTCTGTGTCTATGAAGTGTGAGATTTTGCAATTCTGAGAAAACATTTAGCGATTCTGAGAAATTCTCATTTTACCTTTCCTTCAAGACACAAATTTTGGGCCTAGTGATATTTATTTATGGATCATTGAGCTCATTCTGAGTACGTGATTTTTTCGAACATGAGCTGAATTATTTAATTTTAATCTTATTGCGCTTGTCAGATTAAAAAATTCTAATTTGGTTTTTTTCTCTCAAAGTTCGTTCAAAAGGGGACTCCCACCAAAAAATACGGATTTTTTTTTGAATTTTTTTTGCAATTTTTTCAAGGAAAACACACAACTTTTGAAACGATAAAAATTTTTGGTCGGCGTTTCCTTCAATCGTACTTTGCTTGTCTGATTAAAAACTTTATAATTCGATCCCTTTGTTTTTTTTGAGCTCCCTTGAAGAACTTGATTTGCCCGCAAAATTAGTTCAGTCGTGTGATGTTTGATTCATTTGGTTTGTATTTGTGTTGGCCAAAGTTGAAAAAGCTCATCAAGTTTTTGAATATTCAGGATGGGATGACCACATTTCCGGGTCTGTCTGGAAAATTATTTGGGGCTTTTACTTCGTTCAATAAAACGAGTCACACCTATTAGTAGATTTTCACCTGTCACTTTTCAAGATTTTTCATGAATTCCGATCTCAAAGCAGATTTTTACACCTTTACCAAACACGTTCTAGCTCTTTAGTTGTCGACTGATTCAGCTCAAACTAATTGTAAAATCGGTCTATCACATATTCTTATATCCTTTGTTTTTAAGTGAAACTTTTCAACGATTATTCTGTCTCGCACCTGGTGTGTTTTCCATGCATTGGCCTAACTTTCGCAATTTGATGTTCTCGAAGCCAGCAACTTTTATGGCCCAGAAATGACCTGAAATTTACCTAGGGGGGTTTCTATGTCATTTCAACATTGTGGCCGAACTTTAGTAAGTTGGGTTTTCTTTGCCACCAACTTGTACGGTTCGAAGCCGTTGTCGACTACCCCAGATGGTTATAATGTTTTAATTTTTCATCTCCCTTCTCAGACCTTTTTTCCAATTGCACCTGAATTATTAAATTTTGTCTCTTCGAACTTTTGGAAGCCAAAGTCCAGAAATTCGTTCTTTGAACCTTCACCGCACATGCCATTTTCATAACTCACATCAGTCAATCTCTAATTATAATCACGTCTCCGCCCTTTGCATTTTTGTGTCTAAACACAACTTTTATCAAAAGGGTATTATAGATCTCCACCAACTACATGATATAGATCAGTACCTCTTCTCGAAGCATTTTTTGGATTACGTGATATTTTTAAGCTTACTGGAATATTATTCCCTTTGATCGTTTAGAATATCCCGAACTCTTTTTCAATTCTTTTCATTTTTCTCATTTTTTCAGCTGAACTATATTTCAATGGCTATTTGTCAAATTTGCCAAAAAGGATCTAATATTTTGTCACGATATGGGGTATTGTCCAATAATTATATAAACCTATAAGCTTCATCTTAAATTCAGATACTTTGTTGTAATGCTTGCCAATTGACTCATCGTTATCATTGCGGCAGTAGCATTATGATAATCGATCGTATTTATAACCAAGAACCAAACTGTCGATACTGTCGTTTCAAGAGAAATCTAGAAATCGCGAGAATCAATGATCCGATCGACCCTGTTATAGTAATGTTGGATGATTTATCAGCTCGTCACAAACACAGAGAAGCAGTCTTCCACAAATATCATATTGATAGACTTGTCTCTATTGAAGAAGCATTAAGAGGTGTTCAAACCAAATGCTTCGCAAAATCAAATCAAGATTATAAGTTAACTTTTGACGAAAGATCCACAATGAATCAAATCACAGTTATCGGCTTTTTGAAGAATCTGGATATGGTTCAAAGATTAGGAGACGAGCAAAGGGATTCCACAAAATTTGTCCGAGGAGTCCGCTTCCGATATGCTATCCTTGCAACTGCCTTCCGATCATACGAGACGAAAAAAGGCTATCTGGCTATTGCTAATGGAATCGACATATTCCCCGATCTCACGAAAATCCCGGATGGAGTTTTTGATCCCAAATTTCTTGATAAGATCAGGTGCTTGTTGGTGACAAAACTTTCTGAGCTCAAAGTAACTCTCAACGAATTTCTGATCCTATCCATGATTCTTATTTGTGCATCTGGTAAGTATTGGGTCTTTTTAATTTCAAAAAACTTTATAAGAAATTTTAGAGCAACATATTGATCTATCGGACAATGGAAAGGAATTCATGAGGAGTCAAATGAACTCTTACGGTGCAGCATTATCTCAACTTTGCATGCGAAATGATCCGAAAAACGGACCTGTAAGATTTGTCGAATTATTATCAGTCTGTCAAGTCGTCGAGACAACCTATCAACATATCGAGAGTTTTGCCCAGCTGTTCCGAATGGCTGTTCCTGTTATACAATCTAGAGAACTTATCAAATTTGAATGATTATTGTACTCATATCCGATTTTTTTCAAATTTTATTTTCGGAAATTCTATAGAATTTTGTTTTCTACTGTTTCTAATTTTCTTATCATTTGATTCCAATATCACCTGTACATTTCAACTGGATGAACATATTTATTTCACTAATTTCTTCGAATTCGTTTCTCAGAATCCATCATACCTTAAATTCGTACCTGATCGTTAATATTTTGAACATGACTGCATATTGTTCTTTAACTCGTCCATTTTATTAGATTTCTATTGATCTCCCACCTAGTTCTCCTGTTATTTATTTTTCCTCATTTGATCTTCCTATTACAGGGACCCTTCAATTAGAGAGGCCTTCTATTTCAAACTTTCTTATCGAACTCATGAAGATTCATAAAATTCCCCAAATTTGAGCAAAAGTTGTATGTCGACAAATTTCTGTAAATTTTCCGGAATAATTTTTAATGAAAACGCACGGAAAATTTACATTTCGAACAACAGTACAGTGCGTTGCAGGTTCTTACGTCCACCCAAGTTTCAGGTCATAATTTGAGAACCAATAGAGTAATCAATTTAATCTTTTCAAAATCGGATTTGGGACCACAAGTTACATCTAGTAGCCAATTTCTGTATTGAAACCTTGAAAACTACCCGAGTTATCTGGAAAAGTCTGAAAAAATGCCTTTTGCAACCGTTGCAAGTTTATACGTCCACTCCAAAGATCGGTAGATCATGACTTCTAGCAAAGACGAAGGGGTAGAATTTTGATTCTGTACATTTGAAACCACTGTAAAAAGCGGTTTTCAATTCGCGTTTCTCTTTTCTTCGACTTTTTATCATGTCATGGGATCTTTTGCCGACTGATGCTGGAAATGCTTCAATCGGCGCAGTTAGAGCAGCTGGATGGACCAAAAAAGCTATCACCGAGCAACTAAATTATTCCCACTGTCATACTGACTGTTTACCTACCATTACTGTCATTTTAAACTCTTTGAAGTCGTGTAACGGTATGAATCAGGAGCTGAAACTTGAAGTCATTAAATTAACGGGTTAGAGATGTTTCGAAGATGATTCAAACATCAAAAGAATAGTCATGCACCCAGATCCGAGACCTACCGACGGTCTCAAAGTCGTCTTGACTTCGCTCGAAAAAACATCGTACCAAACTGAGGGAAGGTGTACATGTGTATCATTATCTATCAAAATAACCTTATTCTGAATGTATTCTATGTGGAAAAGTCATCTGACTGAATTATCGCCGTTTACACATTCCCCCAGTTGGGTACGATGTTCTTCCGAGCGAAGTCAAGGCGACGTACTTCGTGATAGTCGGTAGGTCTCGGATCTGGGACCATGATTGCCTTTTTGTGTTTGGAGCATCCTTAGGACATCTCCAACCGGTTCACTTAATGACGTTCAATTTCAGCTTCTGGTTGATAGCATTACCCGACTTCAACGAGTTCGAAACGACAGTGATGGTTGATTGTTTGGATCTGAAGTTCAGGTTTTGAGCTGATCCAGCTTTTTTTCGTGGTTCTTTTGAAGAAAAAACAGTTAATATGAATGTGTGAATGATTAAATTGCTTTATGATAGCTTTTTTGGTCCATCCAGCTGTTCTAACTGCACCGATTGAAGCTTTTTCAGCATCAATCGGCAAATGATCCCATGACATGATAAAAAGTCAAAGAATGAAGATACACGCAATGAAAACAGCTTTTTACAGCGATTTTAGATGTACAGAATAAAATTTCGACTCCTCCGACTTCGCTGGAAGCCACGATCTACCGATTTTTGAAGTGGACGTATAAACTTGCAACAGTTGCAAAAGGCATTTTTTCAGACTATTCCAGATAACTCGAGAACGTTTGAAGATCTAATATCAAAAACTGCGCCTTCAATGTTGTTTTTTGTGCTGAATCCGATTTTGATAAAATCAAATTGATAGCTCTATTGGTTCTCAAGTGATGGCCTAAAACATGGGTGGACGTAAGAACCTGCAACGCACTGTATTTGAAAGGGGCCCTTGTATTACACGGGCGCTTTTCGGATGGTCTTTTTATTAAAGGGACCCTTCTAATTCAGGTTTTACAGGAAATTTAAGATTTTTAGAATTCACAACTCTTCATTTGAACGGTAAAAAAATGGGGTGAACAAATTACACAGTTTCAGTTTTTTTTTCTCGTTTCATGTGCGACAAAAGTTCTCGACTTCTCTGTTTGATAATCACTGGGATAACGAAAAATGATCGGTGAAGAATTTAGTACATATGGATCGATGTTTGTGGGGGGTTTTGAATGGAAACAGAGAGATTGTTAGATTTCAAATATGCAGACAAAAAGCGAATTCTAGGCAACATGAATCTACAAAAAAGGGGAAGCCTGAAAAAAGCGAGATGATCAAAAAGGATTGGCAACTGGGAACAACTGTTTTCTTTCAGAAAAAAAAGCGAAAAAAAGAAAATATGTCGAAATTTACATAGCCATGAATGGATTTTTTGATTCAGATGAATTTCCAGAATCAGGAGAGAGATTTGACACGGTGAGAAGGGGGGTTGACAACAAATAGGAGACAAGGCGGGATTCCCGTGTGAGTGAACAAAAAATGTGTGGGTTTTTGGAGAGAAAAGAGAGAGAAAAAGAATGGAACGTTTCAAGTGGAAGGAAAGATAGGAAGAAAAAAACATGATAGAGAATGCGTTTTTGTTTAAATTAACAAGCAGAAGAAAAATTGATGATGTGAAGTCATTCAGAGATTACGGAGACTTTGTGGCGTGATTTGATCTGAAAATTTTGATGATAAGGATATGAAAAACTACTAAAAAGATAAATTGAAACTTGATCTGAGAATCAGTGATGTTTGAAAGGAAATTCGGAAGTTCGAAAATTCCGAAAAAAGTGATTCGGAATGAAATTTCGGTGGGGGTATTTCCGAAATGTTTTTACACATATGCATACGGCCATGAGAAAAAAACCGTGTCAGGATTTTAGGCTCCAGCCAGTTTTCCCGGGAATTTTTTCTCGGAATTTGCGGGGGCCTCTTCGGAATTTGAGCGTTTGGACTTGCGATCTCGAGCGGAAATACTTTTTCTACTTTTTCGCTATATCGAAATTTCTTTCAATTTTTCGCGCTTTGATTATGGAAAGTGGGATTCCGAAAGCTTGGAAATTTCCTCATTACAAAAAACTCCAAAAAGGCCATTTCGAAAAGTACTGTCTGGCAATAATGAGAAGATGAATTCTCAAATTGTTAGCAAATCAAAACATTGAAATTTTCAGTATCGGATTAAATCCAACTTCACGAAATTTTGAGATTTAGAAATTTAGAAATCTATGAAAAATACTATGAACAAAAGCGGACGAAAAACTAAAACTATAAGCTATAGCTAACTTCAAATCAAAAAATACGCAAATAAGCCGTACCAATTGATCTGGTCTCTCTATTCTCTTTCAACTACTCTTCATACCCTTCTCGAAGAGGTGTCATCTCGCCAGCCGATCCGTATCCATTGTTGTTGGCATTCTTTTCCTCTTCCATCTGAAAACAAATTCAACAAAACTACTTTTCAAGTGCTTGTAGATGTGCTGTAGGGGGATCTGTGCTGGTATAAGCCAATCGAAACTAAGTGATCTCACCGCAACATTTCTTTTTTTCGAAATGAGTACTCACCACAGTATCCTTCATCAATTTCGTTGTGGAGTCATCGCTTCCTTTTTTGCTCCGTGATGGGAATGGAGACAGTTTTCCATTCTCATCAGCATTGTTCGCCTAGAAATTGCAAAGATGGTAGAGCCACTATTGATTGAAATCTTACCTGTTGAGCATTAGTATTACTTGTTCCATTCTTGGCTGCATAATGAGATGCAACACTCCTTGAACCTCGTCTCAACTCGTTTTGAGATTTGTGTAAAAGTCGGTATCGAGCGTAGAATGCTTTGAGTACGTGGTTGACCTAAAAGCTTTTGGATGAGTTTCAAATTCAAACTTGTAGAGTAACTTACCTCTTTGTTCGTGAAGCAATAGATACTAGCAACCATGAGTCCTTGGTACATATAAGTGAATGAAGCAGTGTATGTCCATACAGCAAACACCTGAAAGTTGAGAATATAGGATTCTGTAGATTAGTATCACCCAATCTCACCATAATATTATCCCTAGTCGGTGCAAACGGAATTGTCTGCATGATATTTGGAACACCCAGAAGCGGTAACAACATCATCGCAGCCTTCACTGACTTTTTCAGTCCCGCTTCTGATGTGTTATTCGACTCTCTGACTTTGCTGTACAGCACTCGGATCACATTACAGATGAAGAGCAAGTTGACCACTAGCTGTAACATTCGTGGACCATCCAAAATCCAAAACTCCGGTTCCAGATAGTATGATCCCAAGCATCGTTCCACTTTGAAATCTTTTTTATAAAGCACCACGCCTAGCCAAAATCCAGTATGAAGCAGTGGCCATCCTGAAACAGAGACACAAAGTTTGAAAATCCGAATTTTGAAATTCTCACCGTATCCAGCAATGCAATAAATTAAGAGTTTTGGCTCTCTGAAAAATCCAAACGCAATTTGATTGTTCAGATAGACTCCTTCTAGGAACATCCATGCGAAAGTGACCGTTTTGAAATACTCCAGAAAGAAAAACATCCCTTCGCATAGTATCGGCTGAAATTTAAAAAATTTTCATGGATGATTTTTTTTTCAAGGAACAGTTACCATTGTATTAATCGTTTTTCCTTCAGCTGTATTCGTGTGAGGACCAATGTCTCCGGTGAAAATCAGATCAATGTATAATACCAAACGAATAATCACAACCATTAGCATTGCTATCATTAAGTGTAGGTGGAGGAGATTTCGGAAGACTCGGAGACGTCTGAAAAATTTTTAATTCTAAATTGACAAAATCGTAAAACCTCTATTAGAAGGGCCGGCCCTCCTACTTTTCGTGAGATCTCTAGGGGGTACTTCAATTAGTGGGGCATCTTTTTTGGTGAAATTTCTGAACAAAACAAAAAAGAAAATCAAAGGGGCGTTTCCATAAGAAGGTCAAATAGAGGAGCCCTTTAATTAAAGAGAGCACTTCAATTTCAGGAACTCTTCAAATACAGGTTTACGGCAATTTTAGGAAATTAGGCCCGCTCATTCCAAGACTATCCGATCTCTTTATTCTCAGAAAACACTAACAAAACACAAATTTCAAAACTTCGAAACTCACCGGAAATAAGAGAATATAGAAATAGCCAAAATCAACGAGACTAGTGATAATCCAAGTCCCACGAATTCCAATTTCCTTGCATTTCGTGCAACTTCTTGTGCAATCTGAAAATAAAGAATTTAGAACTGAAAATTTCAAATCCAGGGGTGATCCAAAATTTGCACAAAAACCATTATAATGAAAAAAACAAACAGTTTGGGTGATGATGGAAAAATGAAATGGTGAGATGAAAAAGAAGACAAGTGAACGATTGAGAAAAGTAATTAGGTAATCCAAAAAACCAGACCAGTGAGTGAAAAAATGTGAGTGAGTGAGAAAGAAATTGCGGAAAGAAAGGAACACAAAATTCAAAAAGAAAGTGAAGAGACAATGTAATATAAAATACCGTCAACGATTCGTTGTTGAGATTCTGCATGATATAAATGACTTCATCGGTGTAACACATTGTAAAATTCGTCCATCCGGGAAGGGTTGGTCCCATTTCGGCTGCATTCCGTCCGGACCACACTCCTGACACGTGGCAGTCCTTGGTGATGTTCTCTGTGGTTGGAGGTTACGGTATAAAGTTTCGTAGAAGTGGGTTGATTGGATAAATATGTGTCAAGTATTGCTCTTATAAGAAAAAGTGTGTTTGGTGACGTGTGGTGTGGTTAGAATACGGTACTTTGTGTGGTGTGACGTGACAGAAGACGTTGCAACGTATAAGAAGACGTACACATGAAGAGAACTAGGGATAGATATAGTAAATGGATAGAAACAAAAAAGAAAAGAAAAAAGTAGTAGCAGAGCAAACTCAGGCAAATCGAGATAGAGATAGAAACAAAAAATAAACCAAAAATGATATTTAGGTTTTTGTGAGATAGGTCTAGTTTGGATGCGTTTTTTGGAAACGATAGAAAGATATAGAAGTTTTTGAAAAGAAGAACGACATTCTAGAATTCGTACTTTCACATCTTCATAGTCGATTTTGAAGCAGACGGTGAAGTTTGTCCATCCCCACGGATTCTCGTAATGACCCGGTTTCTTTCCCGCCCATCGTCCCATCTCGTCGCATCGTTTTACAATGTTTTCTGTAATCGCATCGGGGAAGAAATAGGTGAAATGAAAAATTAAATGTTGTTTCGAGATAAGTATACGAGGGGGTAGATCGTTAGGGAGGGGGTGAAGCCATCCATTATCGATTTTTTTTTGGGAAATTTTTGGGTTAGGTTGGAACAAAACGGCGATAAGCTCAATCGCTAGAAAATGAGGAAAATTTTACAGCAAATTTCTAAATGAGAAAATCGTGAGAAGTTCAGAAAAAGTATTAAAAATTCCTCTAGTAGACCTTCATCTGGCTCCAATTCACTTATTTACTGTAATAGAACGCCAAACCTAACTGTAAACTTAGAGTTCAATAATCTCGCTTTTTGTGACAGATATCAAAAATGTGTCAACTGATAAAATATTGGTGATATTATGATTGATAATTTATTAATTGACAAATTGTTTATATCTTTCACAGAAATTGAGATAATTGAACTCAAAGTTGACAGTTTGAGTGGGCTTCTATTAGAAAAAATACAGTAACTATACACAGGGTAACGGCTGCGCATGGTATATGCGTTGGCGCGGCGCCTCATATGGACGACATAGGTACACCGTTTGCGCGCATATAGTAAGTACGCTATATGCGCGCACGCGCCATCGAGATCGGGCGTGCCGCGTCCATATTTCGTCTACAATTTCAGGTCGTATTGGGGATGGATATCTCATATATTGATTAGTTCATCTAACTATAGTTGTAATAGGATGTGATTTTGTTCAGATCTTCCAATATCGTTCATTTTCCCCTTCAGATTTTCCGGAGTGACCATTTTTCCAGTTTTCACAGAATTTTCTCACAGCAAGAAAAATTATGAATTTTGTTTTCGATATATTTGAGTTTCTCGGATTTTTTTCTACGTTTACTTCGTAATAATCGGAAAACTTACCAACCAACCTTCATTCGGTTGAAATAGGAACCGTATACGGACCGCACGCGACCCGTTTTCAGAAAACCACAGCACATTATTTCGTATTTCTCAATATTCTATCCGTTTGCGAACTCCGTATCCGATCCGATTGCGAATGATAAACAAACAGGAAACATGGTCCATATGATCGAAAAATTGATCAAGATCGGCAATGAAAAATTTTGCTAAACAAGGCGCACTAGCGTAATAACGAAGTGTCGTTGGTGGACTGCCCCTTTCATGGGAAAAGCGTGCATGGTATATGGATGCTATATGGGTGCGCCCACCGGCGACCTGTCGTGCCCAGCGTCGACGCATATAGCGCGTACGCGCTACCCACGGAATTATTATGAGCACACATAGCATCCTATATGCGCGCCTAGGCATATACCATGCGCAGCCGTTACCCTGTGTAAGGTTCCAGATATTATGACATAGATACGGTCCAATAAAGGAAACATGATATTTTAGTTAAATTCTGAAATTTCAAAATGAACTTCTCACAATTTCCAAACTGAGCCAGTTCGAATTGTTTCAAAAGATTGAACATGGGGAAAGAAATGAATATATAAATGCGGGGTTAGTTTGATAACATAAACATAGGGGAAAAAATTTCTTTTATTGAGTTTTGTAATTTTTGAATTGAGTTTTTTTTTCACAAAGAATCTGCTTGTGAAGCCAAAAAATTAACAATTGGGACGATTCGGCCAACATGTTCAACAGAAAGAAGCATTAAAATTGAGAGCCTTTTTTGATTTTCAGAATCTTGCACATTCCACATAGAAAAAGCCAAGCAATCGGAGGGAGGGTCGAGGGGTTTTCAAATCAAGGTTCTTCATGCTAATTTTTACTTTTTAGTTGATTTTTTTTGTTCAAAAATTATCTTAACACATAAAAAGACACCATGCGTTCTACCAAAAACCGTCAGCCACCAGCGTTAGTCACTCTTCCATTTTTTTCTCGGTCAATTTGTTTTTTTTCGCTTGATTCAAAATCAAGAAAAAAAGAAAAACAGCTCATTCGTAAAGGGGTTCTCTACGGATTACTGTAGCTTTTCTTCAAAACTACAGTAACCACTGGAAAATCTAACAAATGAAGATAAAGGACTCACTGTTAGGGTCTAATCCTTTCATATGCGGACATTGTAGTGTCACCGACGAATTCGCAGGCGTCGGTGGCCAACATAGTACTGTATCATAAGTGGCATTACACCAAATCCTGGTGTCATTTGGGTCTGAAACTTCTAATCTAGAAGAAGTTATAGAATAAAAACTCACCTCGTTCAGGGAATAATTTATTGTGGTCAAGCATCTTTTTGCATAGCTGAAAGTAAAAACTCATAGAATATTTTCAGTCAGAAAAAGTAGAAGAGACAGTTTAATCCGTTGCTCTTCCGAGATTATGATGACGTGGCAAAAGAACTCACCGGATAAGACTCCTCCAGGACGTCCATTGCTCCGTTGAACGCTTGAACACTGGTCGACGCTAGTACGTTCTGAAATTGATAAGGATCCGTGATTATGATTCAATTGGTCATCGACTAGAATCCACAAAAACTGTCAGTTTCAAATATTTAATGGTATCTTAAGAAATCTAATGTCTGGTGCTTTTGAAATCTTGTTGTTGACAACAAAATCAATTGATAAACAATCAGAAGCCATGACCCACTTACCCAACCAGAGTCAACCATTTCGCTCAGTTTCGCTGTCGAATTATCGAGAATCGAAACGTTGAACGGCGATGTGGCATCCGCCATGATATGAGTCAGTGATGGAGCTCTGAAATTCAATGAATCAGAGGAATGTCGATCATGGATTAAGAAATGGATCAATAAATTAAATTGGGAAACTTGATAGCTTTAACACAGGAATGATGACTTTTGGTTGGTGCTTCTCCCCACTTTTTTGTTCTAGATTCGTTTGAGACAAGAAAAGACAGAAGAGAGATGAGGAAAGACAAAAATCAAACAGTTGTCAGGTTGAGGGCTCACCGGTTTGACATGCTCATGAGGGCAAAAGAATGATGAGATAGACAGAGATAGAAGAAGAGGTGATATTTCCGTGTGGGTTGAAAAGGATGAGTGGTTAAACGGACCGGAAAATATCCTATAAATAACACATTGAGGTGTCGAGAGGAACCACACAGGTAAAATTGTTCTTTTTGAATATTTCATGAGATTCTTTCGGTTATTTTAATGTATTTTGTGGTGCTGTTTGGTTTCGAAGAGACCTCACAAAATGTAAGATCACAAAAGCGTGAAGCGGTTAACGTTAAGATTGACGATAGAGTTGAAAATCTTCAATGTAAACGCTAAAAGAACGCAACCTAAACAATCAACTTGGAGGCCACATATCTCACTTCCTGTAAAAGATACCAAAAAGAGAGCCACACAATGCTTATCATAAAATCGCCAATATTTTATCAGTTGACAAAGTTTTGTTATCTCTCATAGAAATTGAGATAATTCAGCTCAAAGTTCAAGTATAAATTGGCCTTCTGTTAGAGTGTCCGTACATATTGGATAAATACAAAAACTAATCAAATAAAATTCCATTCATTTGCTATCAAACGAAAAAGATACAAGCGGCTGGATTAAAAATTTCTCTTGAATTTCAGAGAAAAAGTTCACTCTCTTGTCTAACTCGCTCTTTGTTTACGAGCAAGTACGTTCGTTCGCATGACTCTTCCAGCCTCCATCATCTAGATTTTCAGATCTATGATTATTTCCCTTCCACCTCCAAAATATACTGACCTCAAAAACGAAATTAAGTCAGAAATAAATAAGAGTTGTTGTGGGTGGAAATTTGAATCAATTTAATCACCCAATGATTTTCTTTTTTTTCGAGAATGACGCCAGTAATGCGTAGGTAGGATAATTGTGAGAAGAAGAAAAAGAAGAAGAGGTGAAGCAAAACCAAAAATAGAGATTGTGGAAAATGAGATGATAGTTGGCGAGAATGAATATACATTCTAATACGAAACCCCGCTAAAAATAACGTTTTTTTTGGGAAAATGAGCGAGAGGAGAGGTCATATTTAGATATTCATAGAAAACGGCAAAACGGCTCATTTTACTTAGGACAAATAGAGAAGAAAATGAATTTCCGTTTTTTTTAATCAAATAAGTTTGTTTTTTAGAATAAAAATAGGAACTAAAAAGTAGGCGTTGACCAAGGGAGAAGAAAAGCTTCAGGGTTATGAGAGAAAAAATATATAGAAAAATAGGAAAAAACAATAAGAAAAACACTTAGTTACATAACAAGAGTAATTGTGGATGAAGAATATGATGGTGGAAGAAGGTGAGTAATAAAAATAATAGACAATGTAAAATCTCAAATCTGGTGGAAAGAATTTTTTCGAAAAGATCCGCTATTTCTCAATTTGAATGAGTAGGGGTTCATCGAATCACAAAAATCTTAGGTTTTCACTGAAATCAGTAGAAAAATTTATATGATCTACTCTGTAAATGTGGGCAACTTTGGGGCAGAAGTTGGGTGAACTTTGGGGCAGAAGTTGGGTGAACTTTGGGGCAGAAGAACTGCGGGCCGACTTTGATCCAAGGCTGGGCAGAAGTAGGGCAATAGTCCAACGGCGCGCAGAGGGGCAAAGGGTGGGCAGACGCTGAGCAGAAGCTCAGAAGGTTGCGATGATTTTTAACGGTTATAAGTTTTAAACATATTTTTCATACGTTTTCTATTAATTTTCTTACGATTATCTCTAAATTTTTTCAAACACTGTCAATTTCTTATCCTTTTTTTCAGTTTTCAACGAAGGAACAGGAGGATGAGTGTCATCGATGAGTGGAATCGGGGCAAGCGAAAAAAAAAAACGAGAAGCCATTGTGAGCATAGAATAGAATGAGTTTTTTAATGTTTCATTTTCAGAGATGGAATATCAGTTAGCAAGATGAGACATCTACGAAATCCTATCAGAAGTATCCCACCCAGGAGGTATGAATTTTTTTCTAAATTAAGTCTCACATTGACTCAATTTTAGAGCCTTCGACGAAACGGAACATTCAACAAGAGAAAGAAGAAGACATTTATGAGAACCCAATTACGAACGATTAGAAAGACGATATAATGGAACAGTTTGTCAAAGGATTGCCGTATCCGTACGAGGAAGCTTGCAAAGAAATCGTTCGACGTCGAAATTCTTACGAGTCAGCCGACAAGCTTGTTCGTCATGCAATTCATGTGCGAGTTTCTACAAACTTTTTCTATAAAAACTAGATATTTTTCAGGCAACTTCTTCAAACTTATCACTTTGACCAGCAGAATGGGATTCTTGTAAATTGCAAGGTGAGATAACTCATACTCTTTACATCAAAACTAAACTTCCATGATTTTGCAGAAACGATAGGAATGCTCCATTCATCTGGCATGGAAGCTGTACAAATCGAAGCTCGGAGTTGAAGATACCGATAACTGGGAGGCAAAGATAAACTTATAATTGTCGCTGATCGAATTGTTTTTTCTAAGTTTTTTACTTTTTCTGTTTTCCTTTTCGATTTTTCACCCTTTTCTGTTACTTCTTTTAATTCCTCAAATAAAATGAATGCTGTTTAGCAAAGCTAGCAAATCTTGAAGAAGCAGAACAGCGCGAAAGGAGGGGCCAGAGCGGGCTGTCTACAAGTGGGCAGACGCTGGGCAAAAGCCGTTCTACAGCTGGGCAGCGTTTGACCTATGAAATGCTAGAAGTTGCCTGGAGTTGGGACAAAGGCTGCCCAGAGTTGGGGAATAAGTTGCCCACATTTACCGAGTAATTTCAATGCGCGTTGCGGCCGAAAATTCGACAATAGGCGGAGCTAAGGTCCGGTAGCCAAATTCTCAAATGCACATTTAAAATTAATCACCGTTCGTAATTATTTTCTAGCCGATTTTTTTTCGATTTTTCCATAAATTTCATTGATTTTTAACTTTTTTAATCCGACAAATCACAGAAAAATTCATTAAACAATGAAATCCAGTGAAAATCAGATAAAATTTAAAAAAATGAGAAAAAAGTCTTATTCTGAGCTTGAAAATTACACTAAGGATTCCAAAATGAAGACTCTAAACAACGCGAAAATTCGTTTTCCAATATATATTCCAAAATGTGGTATGAATCTCATTCGAAAAACGCGGAACTTGTGCTCTTCAAATAAATTTTGTCACAACATCCCAACCAATTTTCCGTAGCCCGAGGGCGTTTTTTTCAACTGATGAAATTTTCTTTTTTGCTTCTTCTGTTTTTTTCTATTTTCCTCTTCCTAAAAAACGTCTAGACCCGTTCGAAGTAATTAGTTTTTGAACAATATCCTGGTAAACCATAAATCATGCTGCTCCGAAATTCGGGTGTTGCTCGAAATGAGTGGAAAAGAATGAGAAAAAAGGTAGAAAGGACCGAAAAGTTTTGGCCGGATAAAGTGTGTAGGGTAAAAGCCAATGAGGCGAATGAAAATGAAAAAGAAATGACGAGGAGTCGTAGAATGGGTGGGAGAGCAAAAAAATGAAATAGGGAAAGGCGAACAAAAAAGAACGTTCAGAGATGAAATTTTGAGATGAGAAGGAGCGCTAAGAAAAAAAGAAGACACGATTTTTCTCTCTGAAAATCTTCTTGTGATGTGAAAGAGAAGTTGTGTGTATGTGACTGAGTTTGAAAGGAACATGTCAAATGGATTCAAGCAAAACATCTGAGTGTGTATGTGTTATGGAATGAATTTTCAGATAAAAAATTCAAGAATTTTCAGTTTTAAATTTGTGTTTTGAGGCTAACAGAAAATATTGTTACTTGCCTGGCTGGCGCGCCTTCGGCGCGTTTTGAGAGCCACAACTTCATTTTATAAGAACAATCAATTTATTCTGATGACCAAAAACATTCTAATCCCAAAATACCTAGACGTATGATCCTTTAAATTAATCTCCAGCCGACAAAAAAGAGGTATGATCATGAGAAATACTTAACCTATATCACGAGTATCTCACACTTTTGAAAAGGAAATTTTTGAGAGAGAACGAAAGTAATTTTGCAAATTATTCACTTGAAACGTCCTATTCCAAAATGTTGGGTAGAAGGTTCGAACCCTAGAGGGCGGAGCGTAATTTATGTCCGGCTCGACGAGCACAAATTGTGTGTGTGTGCTCCAGAAGACTCGTGGAGATAGGAGAAGGAGAATGAGGCACAAATTGGGGGCTCCGTGGGAAGAGACTTCTTCTTATTCTTCCAATCAGTTGGCTTTTATCAAGAAAAAATCGGTTGGGACCCCTAGGGGCAAACGTCGTCTGCTGGGTGTGTCATCCGAAAAAAGAAAGTTCAGGAAAAAATGAAAATGGAATTTCGGAGAATATTCGTCTAGAAATCTGTTGAAAATTGGCTAACAAAGTAGAACAACAGAAAATAGAGAAAAATTAGGGGAAGAGAGAAAAATGAAAAAAGAAAACAGGATCGGATTAGCTCTATGAGCAATGAAGAAGCGTTGGGCTCAGGAAGGGAAGACATTGAAGAAGGAGAAGGAGAAGAAGACGTTTATTTTGATGGGATTCGCAGATTATTCATATTTTCCACTTCTCCCTTATTTTTTGATTACGCGAGGATGAGCTGGATAATGTTAGCGAGAAATGGAATGACGGAAATTTAGGTAAAGACCAATTTCCGAAACTTTTTTTTGGAATTCAATTTGAAAACGAAAATTAAAAACCTTCCCCGCCTGATCCAAGTCCCGCCCATACTATTTTTGTTTTATTCTATATCACTAATCAATGATTGACCTCAATTTCTTTTTTGGCTTCTATGATGTGTGGGAATATTTCCCATCTCTTTTCAATGAACATCAACGTGATTTCTCTTACATTCGCTCGAAAAGTCAAAAGTCAGCTCCCGTGGGCTAAAGTGGGCGTGGCTTAACTTTAAACTGGAAGAAAACAAAATCGAAAAAGGATTACCGTTTGCCGCGGGCAAACTTGAAAGAGAAAATAGAAAAAATAAGTACGGATTTGAGATAATTTATGCAAATTTTTCTTTCCAATTTTCTTATTCAAAAAAGGATTTTTAAGAGCCACTGTTTTTCAATTTCGTTTTGAAATGGAGTTTGTGTTTTGGGTGATTAATTTCTGATCATTAAATAAAATGAAGAAAACAAAGGATGGGTAGGAGGTAGTTTCCGGAGAGAGAGGGAGTATCCAAAATTTTATGATTGGGCAAGAGGCAATAGAACTGGAAAAGGAGTAACCCAGGATCACCTCAGAGTAGTTAAAGATTTCAAATTCAGATTCAAATCTAGAATCTCAAAAATCTTCGATCCATCATGAAAACTACTTCAATGAAAAATGTTTGATGACTAACCAGAAAACAAGAGAGTAAATGAATAAAATTAGATTTGAAATTAGATTAAAGCCTGACTCCGGATTTCCAGTGAAATTTCCTAGCCAAAATAAAAACTTCTTGACACTCTGAGACCCGAAAAACTTTCGGAGTTTTCACAACAATTTGTCAATTGAATCATAAAACTAAAAACTCAAAAATCGAGAATATGTGTCTTTTGAATGCGCCGAAACGGACTCTTTTGGAAAGAAAAGGAAGGAATTCGATTTTGGTCTGCACAAAAAGAAATTCTGAAATTGAATAAAACTAGTTAGATCTTCTTGTTGTCTGATCACGAACTGTCAATGACGAATTTGATAATCAATTTGGGTTTCAATTAAAATATTTTAGAAACTTTTTTGGCTGCTTCGCATGGGAAAAGTTATGGTCGGCGCAGGGTTCCAAAATGCCTGGTCAGAAATTGCGCCCCAGCGAACGTGAGATAGGGGGGAGGTTTCGTTGGCTGAGTATCAAACGTACAACGATGAGCAAAAAAGCGCTAGGACAGATTTTAAGCAAGGAGGACAATATGCCAAATAGGAAAAACTTTAGCCCAGGTTAACTGGGCTGGGGGTCGGTTTTGTTTATCCAGAAGAACTTTTTTGTCAAAAAAAAAAATGAAGAAAGAACTCAAAAAGAAAGAACGAACTGCGGAAAAAAGAGTAAAAGGAAATGAATTGTGAACTAGAGAAGAACAACAAAATAGCTCTTCTCAAATGAACTTTTCGACAGGTGAAATCTCAAAAGGAAGCAAATCGTTATAGGAGAAACTTTTTATAACAAAAATTTTGAATTGTGTTGTTTTAGACACTTTCTTCAAGATAACCAACTCAAAACGGAGATTTCTCTGAAATTAGAAAAACGAAAGTCAAAGTTTTCCATTTTGTTCTGATGCTATGTAGCTCACATGAACTTTCTAAATAGTTAATCCATTCGGAAAATAAAAAGGTAATCTAATGAATTCTACAAATCAGAACGAAAAAATTTGAACTTTTGAAAGTTGTCAAAAAACTAAATGAGCAGAACACAATTTCAGATAATTGCGGTTAAAAACTATAGGTTGAAAATGCATCAACTAAAGAAGAGAAACGAAAAAACGCATTAAAAAGAAAACAATTATATTCCTGACTAAAGCTTTTTTTATAGGAGCCGCCCTTTTAACCAAACGTTTCATACACTTCATTTCATTCTCATCCGTTCATTGGATAAACATCAAAAAAAAATGGAAAAAGGGGAGAATATACTGGAAAAAAAATGAGAACATAGAAAAAACGGGAGAGAGAGACGGATGGGTGGAGCAGTTTAATTGAATTTACAGCTCTCTCGCTTGGTTTTTTGTGCTTTTCCTATTATTCTCATTTATTGCTCATTTTTAGAGTACTTGGAAATGTTTCCAAGTGAAAACCGAAATCAAATTAATTTTTAAAAAATAAGACCTTGCTTTTGCTTTCTTGCTATCCTAAACTTATTAAAAACAAAAAGGAAGAAGGAGCTCACTGACACGATCAAATTGACGGGTTGACATGATGAATTTTTAGTGCGTATTTCGGGAAGAAAAGTGGAGAAGAAGCTTCTAGAAATTGACCCCATGAAGAGGTGAAATTGTCAAATGATGTTATCTCCTTCTCCCTTTTCGTTTTCCAGAGAACGAATAAGAATCATCAAGATTATGCAAGGAAGGTCTCTGGGAAATGGGGAGTAATTGAAGATTCAAGGTCAAGGATTACATCGATTTCGAAAAATCGGTTAAACATTTTTCGAAAAAGCTTGCTAACATTTTCAGCAAGATTCGCTTTGCACAAAAATGAGCAGCTCGTTAGCAAACGTTACAAGCCGGGCTCAGATAGGGCAACGTAAGCAAGCTTGACCAAAACATAAACTGACTCTTCTTGATACATGACTCTTCTTGATATCATACATATATAAATAATAAATCAGCAATTTGTTATAACATCAATAATATTTTCAGAAAGAAAAAAAGAAAACCAGGAACGAGATGTCGGGTGCGCCTCGCAGTAAGGAAAGAAAAAGCTCAAAAAGGCTAGAAGTCAGTCAACAATATTTCTAACATTCTGGAACCTCTCCCTCCTTTTTTTCAGATAGACGATCCA